CTCCCTCGAAGGCGAATCTCAAGAATCGTCTGTGACGGGGGGCTATCTGGATGTGAAAGTAAGCGTCTTTCAGGTCCAGCGAAAAGAACCAGTGCCCTGGGCATATTTGCGGGAGGATCTGTTTCAATGTAATCATCCTGAACGGCCGTCTCATGAGGGCGCGATTCAGACACCTGAGATCGAGAATGTGCCTTAGGCCGCCATCCTTCTTGGGGACGAGAAAGTAATGGCTGTAGAAGCCTGACTCGCTCTCGGCTGGGGGAACCATTTCTACGGCTCCTTTTGCCAGCAAATTCATCAGCTCGGCGCGTAGGACGTGTGCATACTCGCTCTGAACCGAGGTGGAGACCACGCCGCTGAAACACGGGTGTCTTCGAGCGAATTGGAGTGTATAACCTCGTTTTATTATCCCCATGACCCAGCTTGACACTCCGGGGATGGCCTGCCAGGCCTCGGCCCGCATGGTAAGGGGCTGGATTGGTTCGAGCGGTGGGCCGCCTAGGGGGGACCCGACACTCGCAATGAGTGGAAGAGGAAATTTGCTCTCTTTTTGAAAATGTTTGTGTTTTATTTTTCCCGCTATAACAGCAGTTGGTTGTGTGGCAGGATTAGAACGGGCCCCATGTTCACAAAAGTATTTTTGGTCACAAACACACTGCCATAGGCACCCGGAACTGAACGGGGTGCTTGGAGGCATAACAAAGGCGTTTTGGGCGGTGGTCCGGCTAGAGCGAGACTCTTCCTGTCCCACAGATCAGGATGATGCCTGAGGCACAGGGTACAACACTATCTTGGGTCGGGGGCCCTGGCGTTTAGGAAACTGGTGGCGTCTGGCCAAGCGGGAGCGCTGGCGAGGCTCAGGCTAGGAGCCGTGGGAGCAATTGGTGGTGCGAGCTTCACGGGATGCTGAGTCGGCACATTTTTGGGGCGACTAGAAGCAGCCGTTGAGCTGGAGCGCTTTGGCAGGAAGTGTCGCATTGCTTGGGACGACTTCTGTGCAGCGGTAAAGCGTTCAGCGAAGCCTTCAACTGCAGGTCCAAACAGGCCAGTAGGGGAAACCGGAGAGTCGAGGAAGGGGACCTTATCCGCATCCTTGATCTCCGTGAGGTTTAGCCATAGATGGCGCTCCAGCACCACTAGGTTGGCCATGGATCTGCCAATCGCCTGTGCTGTCATCTTGGTGGCGCATAGAGCCAGGTCGGCCGCACTGCGCAGCTCCTTAAAAGCCGCGGTGTCTGAGCCAGACACGTCCATGCAACGGAGGAGCTTGGCCTGGAAGACTTGTAAGACCGCCATAGAATGAAGCGCCGAGGCCGCTTGTCCATCAGACAAGTAGGCTCGCCCGGCAAGAGCCGAAGTCGCCCTACACGGCTTGGGTGGGCAGCGCAGATGCGTGGCCACTGACTCATCCAGGGGAGGGAGTCTGTCGTAACCTTTTTCTTTGGCGCCGTCGACTGATGTGAGGGCGGACGAAGATTAGGCACGAAGGCGGGCCGAGTAGGGGGTACGCCAAGACCTGGTGATCTCGTTGTGGATCTCTGGAAAGAATGGTGAAGCTTGTTGTCGGGGGGCCTGACTGCGCCCCGGCAAGAGCCACTCATCCAGGTGGCTGCGGGTGGGCTCTTCCGGCGGAGACCACTCCAAACCCAGCTCCTCCACAGCTTTCAACAGGATGCGGAAAAGCTTGGCGTCCATGCCCGTGTTGGCTGTGCTGGGTTGTGCAGATGGCAAGGGTTGTGCAAATGGTCAACGTACGAGCCCGACAGCTCCTCTGCATCTGAAGCCTCCAACGACATGCTGTTGTCCATGGCTTCACACTCGCATCCTTGGGCAGTCTCTCTATGGGGGCTCAGCCGGCGTGGGCTCACTCGTCACCGAGCACCGAGTTCCTCGAGTCCCTCACAGGCTCCTGGGAGGAAGAAAGCAGAAGAGCGAGAGGGGCAGAGTCGCTCTCTGAAAAGAAAGCTTTCCGCAAGCGCAGAGAGGCGAGACTCACATCCTCGCAATGAGGACATTCCGTCTCAATGAGTGCTGCTTCAGCGTGGGCGGCGCCCAAGCATGAAACACACTCGCCGTGACCGTCAGCGGTGTGCAGGGGGGCCCTGCACGAGCAACAATAACGGTGCAGCATTTGAAACAATGCCGAAAATTTGCTCTGAAATTTGTTTTTATATCGCCGGATAGCAGCAGGGGACCGGGGACCGGAAACCGTCGCTGCTGCAGGCGCGAGGGTGGCGTGAAGTGGCGAGAATGGCCGAGCAGGAAGGGGTCTCTCGATCCGCTGCGAGGCTTGATCACGGCGAAGGCTTCGTAGTCTCGTAGAGGGAAGAACTAGTAGTCGTCACTGAAGGAAAATAATCTGAGGACCCTATGGCTATGAGCTCCGCTGCCGAGCTATTGGTTCGTTTTTTATTCACTGCACGAACCACTGGCCGTGCAGTTACACTGCGTTATTGAAAGGCTTCAGTTATCTGAGAAAAAGGAGTTTTCCCCAAGCATCTTAAACAGACGCAGTATGAGTGAAGTATCGATAGGAAACTAATTTTCAAGAAAATTATTTATAATTTATCAAAACAATGCAATATAAACAGATTGAATCATGTTCCCTTACAGTAATCAAATTGACCCCTGTACACTGTTGACCCCTATCCCAACCCTTAAACCAACCTATACACCAAACCTGAGACTAACTTTACCTGTATCACACCTCAATAGCAGCAAGTGTCGTGCATTAACAAAAGCTTTTAATCATTGTATAACATCTGTTAAAATAATTTGTAGATTTTCAAGATGTGCATGATCATATGAATTTTAAGTTTAATGACATTTGTAAGCATTTAAATTTACATGAAATGTAAATTATTAGGTCATGTTTAATACATTTATTAGTAAACATTAACAAGCACATTATTTCACGTTTCTAGATATGTGATTATATATTAACTAATGATCCGTTAAACATGACATAATGTTTGTTAATGATTTATTAATGAAAGTTATTATAAAGTGTTACAAAAAAAAATTTAAATTAATTTTTAATGTAATTTTATTACAGAATGCACAAGCCTCATATACTCATTATGGTTTCTTATTTTGGATCTTCAGGGGGGGGAAAAAGCACACAAAAGTGCTCCACAGAAGAAAGTAATTTTGGTTTGGTCTGGCATGAGGGTGAGTAAATAATGTGTTCTAATTTTTGTTCAACTACCCCTTTCAGGCAGGTGCATCATGAGTAATATAAAACAGAGTGGGCTTTGGAGCAGATTACCCGAACAGATGACTCCTGCATCTTTAGTATGATCACAGAGATATGAACCCCATTGTACCGATCCACAATTCTTCAGTGTAGACTCTGATCCAGTACATAACTTGCGATTTGGCCAGATTGCTCCTGATCCTGATCCAAAATGAGCATCAACCACAACATCTACAGGTTCTCCACAGTCCAGCTCTCTACACACCACTGCAGCATCAGCCATATCAAAGTCAACACCACACACTGTTCCCCACTGACCTCTATGAAGAACCTCCACTCGACCAGCACAGCGACTGTTGCCACCAACCAACCTCACTCTCATATTGTCTATATAATAAATAGAGAGAGATAAGAAAAAAGATACAGACAGAAGGAAAGAAAAAAGTAACACACTAATATAAAAACTATTAAAGTAATATTTATTCTAAATTCAAGGACATTCAATTCAACTAATTTCAGTTTATTAAAAGAAAACACTCAAACCTGCACACACTAGTCCAACACTGTATTCATGTGAACAGCTATGTTTGTGTGAGGAGTTAGTTGGACAGAGGTGAATCTGAGACTCATTTCCTCTGCACCGAATCTCTTGTGTCCACATCTGAGTGACTCCTTTGCCAAAAGCAGCTGCTCCCAGCACCTGTACAGGAGCCCCACAGTCCAGCTCTCTACACACAACCTCTGCATCCTGCTGGTCTGTATAACAGAATTCAAAGTATGATTCATTTCCTCTGCACTGAATCTCGTGTTTCCACATCGGAGTGCATCCTTTGCCAAAAGTAGCTGCTCCCAGCACCTGTACAGGAGCCCCACAGTCCAGCTCTCTACACACAACCTCTGCATCCTGCTGGTCAAAGGCAGCGTCACACACTGACATCCACGTCTGATCATGAAGTATCTCTAACCTCCCAAAGCAGCGAGAACCTCCAACCAGTCTGACTTCTAAATAAGTAAACACATATCAACAAAATCATGCCTTATTTTAAAGGAACATAAGAGGACATGTCTCCACCTCCAAGACCCCTGCATGAATAGAGCACCTGAGGTTAATTTGGGGTCTTGCAGAATTGCTATGATTACTGCGCTTGTGTATGCCAATGAGTTCCACAGGGCCATTGGGTTTTCCATAGGTTTCATTCAGGTTTTTTATGTCAATTATTTTACCAGACAAGAAGGTGAAAATAGTCATGGAATGAGTGCTTTTGGCACATCTGTTTTCTATAATAATATACAACACTTTTAACTTACCTGAACATATGACTTGAGCACTCTTATCAAGACATGTGTCAGGCAATTGTATGGATCCACATTTCTTAAGTGTAGACTCTGTTCCAGTACAAATTGCAATTTTCATTAAGACTGGTCTTCATCCTGGTCCGAAGTAAGCATCCAGAGCATCTACAGGTTCTCCACAGTCCAGCTCTCTACACACCACTGCAGCATCAGCCAAATCCCAGAAATCACCACACACTGTTCCCCACTGACCTCTATGAAGAACCTCCACTCTACCAGCACAAGGACTGCTACCATCAACCAACCTCACATTCTTTCTATCTAAGTCACAGAAGAATACAAAGAGAGACTATGAGTAACATGTAGAATATTAAAAAGATATTACTCTCATTTTACTTTATTCCTTACCAGCACAGAACAGCCCCTGGAAATTATCATCTGAACAATGGTTTTTATAAAGGGATGTTGGACAGAGGTGAATCGGAGATTCATTTCCTCGGCACTGAATCTCTTGTGTCCACATCTGAGTGTCTCCTTTGTCAAAAGCAGCTGCTCCCAGCACCTGTACAGGAGCCCCACAGTCCAGCTCTCTACACACAACCTCTGCATCCTGCTGGTCAAAGGCAGCGTCACACACTGACATCCACATCTGATCATGAAGTATCTCTAACCTCCCTGAGCAGCGAGAACCACCAACCAACCTGACTTCTAAATAAAACAATTCAAATGTGCAAAGTAAACAACAACAAACAAACCAATCTTAATTTACAGGTACTCAAGATAGTGATAACTGATAAATGTAAAAACATTTAAAAATAAAATAGAAAATTATAAACCAGTATGTAAGCGCAAAAGTTTTTTTGACGCAGGGGTCGGGAACCTATGGCTCGCGAGCCACACCTGGCTCTTTGACAAAAACCATGTGGCTCGCCAGATCTCTCACCCTTTACCAACAAATGATCTATTCCAAAAAGTATACATCACTAGAGATCAGCAATTCATTGGTTGTAGAGACTACATAAGCTGATAAAAGGTTTAAAATAATAATACATTTTTTGTATTGAAAAGTGCGTGTTCAGTGCTGTTCGCCAGAGTAACGACAGCAAACTGATAACGTAGAGCTAATAACTCCGATTCATGCTGCTACGTAGCTTGTTTGTGGTAATAGCGAAAAGAAAGATTTTTTTGAACAGCAAAAAAAGTGTAAAAGTAGGCCTATGAAAAAAAGTGATAGGACTGAAACACATAGGCCTACTTTGTTTTATAGAAGATGTTGTTCTCCTGTGCCAAGAGTCAGTATGAAACATTTCGCCGGTTACTTTCGCTTTTTCCACGCAGCTTTCAGCGGGTTGGTCTGTTAGCGTTATTAATAAAGGAACGTGAATGAATGAGACAGTAAAGAGCGGGACATTCTTGAAGGCAGACAGTATTAAAAACTCAAAGCCGCGAAACGGAACTTAATCCGCTCCTGACTGCATGTTTTCTGCGCGCGAGGTCCGAGTGGAACACGGAGAAGCATAGACTGGCGCGCCTAATACGCCTAAAACGGTCAAAACACGGAGCGTCAAAATGCCTGCACTGGTGTCTATTCACATAAATACGGTCGACATGCACCGTGCATTATTCTTAAAATCACTGATAACTAATGGCATATGTCCTAAAAATGTCTATTAGTGTAAATGTCAATTAGTGCCTGTTAGCATGACATTAATATGTAATAAACTCAACTCTGTCAAATTAATAATATTGTAAAATGCCTTTTTTTAAATTAGGTGTTTAAATGTTTAGCTTAAAATTTTCAGTAAAAATAATCCTGTGACTAATGAGAAATGTCACCATATATAGGCTACTGTATCAACAGAACACCAGTGCTGAAAATGACTCCTCCCTTACACAAACACACCAAGCGTCGCCCGCTTTCTGTTACCATTCCTCAAACTGACCGAAATAAATACAGACGTTTCACTCAACACAAGCTCCAGGCATAAACACAGACACACTCTCACATACACACACACACACACACACACACACACACACACACACACACCAGGGGCATAAAATAGTCACACATCATACAGGAGAATTGAAAGGTTTCAAAGAGAGGAAGCACTCCAGGATATTTACATCATCAACCCCTGCTGAGATACAGAAACTGATAACTGCTCACTTCAAACGTATCATATGATTTTCTTCTTACAAGAAATAAAGAAAAATTCTTTAAAAATTGTTACACCAAGCAAATAACATCAATATAATTTAGACAGCATGACTGGTAAACAAGTATCTCATTCCATTTTCTCAATTTATAGAATTCAATCATTATGCTCAACCATTTAAAACCTGTTAACCAAATAATTATATATATTTAAAAATATGTGCAATGCTTATCTTTATAAATAATTACAAAATATAATTTCCAAACTCCAAAATTTAGGATAAATTTGCAACCCTGTTACCCATTAGTAGTAGTAGTATATAAATTGGTTAATTCAATTTTAAAGATTATAGTTATAACAATGGCAAACATCAAACAAATAAATGTCTAATTGTAAATAAAACACTTTCATTCACTATAACAGCTTGTGCGTTGAATGTAGCAATGCACTACTCAACCACAAGATGGAAGCAAGACGCTATTTACAGGCCCTGTCCCAAATGAAACACTTCATGTGCACTTGCAGTCTTACGGACTTACAATGGCCGCCGCGTGCGCGTGTCCATTAAGTCCACGAGACCGTATAGGTAGAAGTCTGACATGGAGCTCGCCCCAGTCAGTGCGGGCTCGGCAGAAGTGCGTGTCGGGGGCACTCATTAGCACCTTTCCGATTGCTAAAATGATGAAAAGGACACCCTGCGGTCTCGTGGACTTAATGGAAATGCGCATGTGACGGACATTGTTATTCCGTAAGACTGCAAGTGCACATGAAGTGTTCCATTTGGGACAGGGCCTTGGTCTTCCAATAGATGGAAGCAGTGGCGTCGCTAGGAATTCTGGGCCCTGTGCACTGATTTGCTATGGGGCCCCTCATGTTCAGTTGGGGGGGGTGCGCAGTCCTATGCACTCTGTCACCCTTTTCCCCCCACTAGTGACGCCCCTGGATGGAGGCAAAAAACTTTTTGCTTATAAGGGTCTTGTCCTTGTGTTACGACAGAAGAGAACAGAACGGAACAGAAATTGTTTGGTTCTTTCTCATAACAAAAATTCTGAATGTTTTTCTGGTCGAATATACATTTTTATTGTAGTAAAATGTTTCGGTAAAAAGCCTAAAATTAAACAAAGCAACAGTGCTTCATTAACAACCAGGTGATAAACCAATGATTTATCAACAATAAATTAAGAGGAGATATTTTACATATCAGCATAAGGAAAATCTATTTAAATTTTTTTATTTATTTTTTTATTTTAAATGGGTCATAGGATGCTACATGCACTTTTACAAGTTGTTTGAACTGAAATGTGTGTTGGCAGTGTGTGTACACAACCACCCTATAATGATAAAAATCCATCCAGTGTTTTTTTTTTAAATCTTGTTAAACGTTTTCCCCTTTCTCAAATCGAGCCGATCTCAGATGCCTGTCTGTGTGACGCCCCCCCGATAGTTTGATTGACAGTAGCATTTCAGCACAGACTGGACTGGTGTCTTACCTTAGACCCGCCCTGAGTGAGCTGTCATCAGTCTATAGAGTTAGATCTCTGCCACAATTCTGCACGGGAAAGATCATATTTTGAGTGCGCAAAAGTGCGTTTTGCACATGCGTGAACTGAGTTTTGTGGAGAAAATGTTTGTCTCGCATCATTAGAGAGCACTGAGGGCTGGCATCAGGTGAGCAAGCTAGTGAAACATTGCACTCACAAAAGAGAAGGTCTGCACAAATTCAAAAACTTATTTTAAATGCAAAATTGATTTTAGTGCGCTCAAAATACTTTTTTCTTTGGAAAACGAACATTTTCTCCACAAAACTCAGATTGTGCTCATGCAAAATGCACTTTTATGAAAATATGATCTTTCGCGCGCTGAATTGTGGCAGAGATGTAATCCCATATCAGTCCGCCATTGTTTCACCGCTGGAGCAGATGTAGACAAGAATTACTCCTAAGCGATTGAGGTGTTCTGTTGTTGAATGTAATAATGAACAGCAGTCGTCATTTACTCCTGACATCTGAGCCGGGAAGAGAGGGGCGGGGGCAGCAGAGCTCATTAACATTTAAAGGAAAATGCTACAAAAACGGCTTGATCTGAAAAGAGCTGTTTTTGACAGGGTAAAAAAGGTGTTTTTTACACTATCATTGAGAGATTTAAAACAAACTATGTTACAGATTTTTCATTAAGACCCTAAAGAATCATATCAACTTGTGGAAAATGGGCATCCTATGACCCCTTTAAATTACATTGAAAGTCTTTAAAGAAAAAAATAATATAATATAAAATAATATAACCCATCTCTTCTGTGTTTGTGCACTTTAATGATCTTTACTCTTTTAGGGGTCTTTACTGTCCAAAGCAGAACTTCACAGAGGCTCCGCATCAGATTCTTCACTCTCATCCTCCAGACTAGTTCAAGTTTTAACCAGTTCCATCAACATCTGTCTGACCGAGTTATGAGGTTTGAGCTGCAGCGCATGGAAGTAGCTGCTCTCAGCTTTCTTCATTGTGCCATTAAGATGGAGGATCGCCCCGAGATTCATCAGAGCTACTGGATGCTGGGAAATCGAGAAAAAGACACAAAAATAAATAATCAGGATAAGGATGGCTAAAGAATTTTAGGTAGGTTGGTTAGTTAATTAATTAATTAAATTATTTTTAATTATTTAAAATTGATTTTATGATTTGATGTAGATTTAAAAGCACTTTTGTTCGATTTTTAGGACCAGATTAATTCCACCACAATATAACAGTACTGTTAACGATTTAATTATGAATGTACTTTTGCTGTCAAAGTAAATTTACTTAAAAACACACAAAGAATTCAAGATTATGTCCGTATATTCTCATCACGGTCCACCTTCACTGTGCCCAAAATGAAGGATACTGCCACAGACCTGAGTCAATGTGTAAACATTTCACTTTATCTAGCCAGTTAGAGTATGAGCTGATTCAACACCAGAACTTCCCCAGTTCTGCTACTGATTGGCTGTCTGAAAGCTTAGGCAGCTGATTTTTGTTCCCTGGCTGCCCTATCTGGCAATGACTTAGCAGGCGTTTACACATAGTACCTCACAAAATTGATTTCAGACAGACATTTGAGGCAGTATAACAGTTTAATGATGTACAAGACAATAGAGAGAGCTTTGGTGATAACTAAGCGAATATTTAATTACTACAATACTAATTTCTTGCTCGACATTACAGCAAATGTGGAAAAGTAAAAAAAAAAAAAAACCTACATTTCCACACAAACTGATCACCAAAGTTTGGAAGATGTTTTTTTTTTAGCTCAACCGGCACAAAATTTAACATACAGGATAGTGGGATTACCAATGACAGCAAAGGATATTGAATTTAAGTTCATTTAAAGTGGATGAAAACAAAACTGTGAGAGGCAGACTTACAGTCTTTACAATGGCATGTACTGTATATAAATGCCCTAGATAATGTAATTTTCACAACTCACAACTTTCAAAACTGTTTTATGGAGCTTTTTTCTACTAAAAGTTTTTTGCCTAAAGACTTTCATCAGACAAGCAACCGGTATGTTGTTAAACAACAGTACAATCATTTGAGTACTTCTATCCTTCACAGTCGTTTTCATTTCAGGCAAAAATTGGTGCTACCCTCACAAGGGTCTATGCCTCCAAAAGATCAGATAAAAATGTCTTAGCAGGACGAGATGTGTCCACAATCATTGGATGTGTTTTGTTCTGAAGGCAGCATTTTTCAGCTTTCAGACCATAAACTTTAAAAAAGGACATGTCTATTT